ATAGATAGATAGATAGATAGATAGATAGATAGATAGATAGATAGATAGATAGATAGACAGATAGATAAACAGATAAACAGATAGATAATGATGGATGATGGATGGATAGATGATGGATGGATAGATGATGGATGGATAGATGGATGGATAGATAGATACTCAGGTAGGTAGGTAGGTAGATAAAGATATGGATGGATGGATGGGTGGATAGATAGATAGATTTGCTGGCATTTGGGTGGCATGTAGATTTAATCATTTTTATGCATTTATTTGTATCCTGCCTTTATTCACCATATGTTCAACTTAGTGAACACATTCATACCTTCCTTCTCCTATTTTCCCCAGAACAACCACCGTGTGGGGTGGGGTGGGCTGAGAGAGAGTGACTGGCCCAAAGTCATGAAGCTGGCTTTCACGCCTAAGGTGGGACTAGAACTCACTGTCTCCTGGTGATTGTCCCAAAGTCATCCAGCTAAGGCAGGACTAGAACTCATAGTCTTCCACTTTCTAGCCTGATGCTTTAATAATACTATATTATTGTAGCTGGTTGCACAAACAATGTATGTAGCCAGAAATATTAAATTCTGTAGAATTGCTGACAGGTCAGGTGGCATAAAAATGTAATAATAATGTATTGTTATTGTTATGTACAGTATCTACTCTTTGCATATGTGACGTTGTGTAATGCAGGCTCACTCCTGTTGTATTAACTTTAAACAACATTATTTATGCAACCAGCAAAAAAAGGGGTATGTTTCAACAACATTATTTTGAAGGGGCAAACATATGATATTCATATTCTTCATGGCCTGTTTTACTACTATACTTTTAATTACCGTACTTCAGTAGTAATGGTCAGATAGCCAGAAAACAGCAGTGCTCTTGAAAGCTAATCTATTTTTCATTTCTGCCACACAGATATAGATGGAAGGCAGTAGTACATATGGAATAGAATTCTTTATTGATTAAGTGTGATAGGACACACAAGGAATTAGTTTCCGGTGCATAAGCTCTCAGTGTACATACAAACAACAAGGTGATAAATCATAAATCATAGTTACTATCATTAATCATCAGATAGAAACAACTACTGATCAGTCATGTTACTAACAGAAGATAGTAAGGAAGATGAGAAGTTAAGAAAGGATGAGAAATGAGAAGATGAGAAGGATAATACCAATACAGCCCTACTACATGGCTAAATATCTTTAAGCCTAAGGTGGTGCTGTGGGAATGAGGTCTTCAGCAGAGTGATGGCAAAACAGCCTTTGTATCTAATTATTTTGGCATTCAGTTAGACCAAGGGTCTTCAAACTTGACAGCTTTAAGATTTGTGGACTTCAACTCCCAGAATTCCTCCTCCAGTCATGTTAGCTGAGGAATTCTGGGAGTTGAAGTCCACAAGTCTTAAACTTGCCAAGTTTGAAGACCGTTGAGTTAGGCTCTAATATCCTGGGAAGACAGCTTGAATTAAAAAGGGGGAAAAAGAAAGTGCTATTTCCTTGAACCACATTTTTCTCTAGTCAGGGAAATGGTTGCCATTTTTGATGTGCTGTACAACTCCCCCTCTTTTTTTTTTTTGCATTGATTCAGCATCTACTGTGCACCAATGTGCTTTATGAAAAATTCAAAGCTATGCACCCCTAATATCAAGAAGGAAGCCTATAGTCCTTATTCACCTTTTGCTTGAAGATGGTCAACTGAGCCAACCTTACATTCTCCCCTGATGACTGTCCCCATTATCAAAATGCTGCTCCTGACAGGATGATTTCCATAATCACTGGAATCTGGCTTCTGGGATTTTTAAGAAAAAGTCCACACAAGATGTCTTTAGATTCTAGAAAGGCCCAATTGTCCACTAATCCTTGCCCTGCCTGTCTTTCCTTCAAGCTAACTATATCCAGTACTGACATTGTGTTTGCCCTTCTTTGCATCTATTTGTGTTGGGCTTTAACTCCACAGATCATGTGAATTTGGCCATTGTGCTTTGCAAACCACAAACTACACAGATGAGTGGCATGTGTCAACCCAGCCAGAGCATCTCTGCAGAAGGCTGAAGGCTGAAATTCTACAAAAGTCAACTAGACAGAACTTGCTTCTGAGTAAATCTAGGCCTCTATAAAATGCCCACGCAAAGTAGGAAGAAAGAGAGCTAATGCACACACCTGTTAGATAGCACAGCTGCCTCTTCTGTGTACATTTTAAAAAAAATCAAGAATCACCTTGTAATGCATGAACTGTAAGCTTTCAGTCTGCCTATAGTGGACAGCTGCATTCTCAGAGATGCGCAGGGCTAGGTTCCCAGAAAAGTGCCACGTTAAAGGAGCATAGAACAGACAGATGTAAATATTATGTAAAATATTGGCACTGAATTTATTTCTTCCCCAGGCATTAACCGAATGCTGATATAGAGAAATTGTTGTAATTTCTTAAAAGTTCTTGCTTTGGTAGAAGGAAGGAAGGAAGGAAGGAAGGAAGGAAGGAAGGAAGGAAGGAAGGAAGGAAGGAAGGAAGGAAGGAAGGAAGGAAAGAAAAGGAAGGGAGAAAAGAAAGAAGGAAGGGAGAAAAGGGAGAGAGGGAGGAAGGAAGGGAGAAAAGGAAGGAATGGAGGAAGACAATGAGGGAGGGAGGGAGGGAGGGAGGGAGGAGGGAAGGAAGGAAGGAAGGAGGAAGGGAGAGAGATGATAGAGGAAGAGGTAGAAGTAGAAATAGAGGTAGTGGTAGAATATAGAGATATAGAGGTGAACAATTGTAATTGCTTAAAAGTTCTTTCCTTGCTAGAATAAAAGAAGGGAGGGAGGGAGGGAGGGAGGAAAGAAGGAAGGAAGGAAAGAAAGAAATAAAGGAGAGAGAAAAGGAAGGGAAGATGGGGAAAAGAAGGGAGGGAGGGAGGAAGAGAGAGAGAGAGAGAGAGAGAGAGAATAGAGATGATAGAGGAGGAGGTAGAAGTAAAAATAAGAGATAGAGAAACGAAGTCACTTACTGGCTATTTCCTCTTTCTTTTCTTCCGTAGATTACAGGCTTTCCTTTCAGCGAGAGGCCCCCAGATTCTGGGAGATGTGACCCCCACTGCCTTTCTGATATTTGAGCAGAGGGTCGGAGCAATGGCAGTTGCCGTAGGAGATGGGTTTGAAGAGCCACATTGAACAACATGCAGTCCAACTCTCATCTGAACTAACCCCACCCTTTCAGTTCCCCTTTTCTTAGTTTCTGACCAAGCTGTCTCTGTTTCCTCTCACCGAGAGGCCACATGGGTGCAAGACAAGATTTATTTTTTGTTAGTTTTTGGAGGAGGGAGGGATCTCTAGTTTCTTGTCAGTCCCCCCACCCCCCAAAGGCAATGAAATCATCTCCAGGTGCGAAAAGACTAGAAAAGGCAGCTGGACAAACTGGTTGGTGTAGAAGCCAACCATGGAGACCAAAAGGGACCTGCAAAAGCTTTCCAACTAAGGGCTTTACACAGTATTCTTCTTCCAACCGTTGAATTGGAAATGTCCTGTGGAATCCAAAAGCTTGCTTTTGACGAAGAGCACTCCACTCCTCCGCTTGCAGTAGAATACCTTATGCCACTAGACTTGAAATTTTGGACCTAGACAACTTAGAACTATACCGCCTGTGGTGTGACCTAAGCTTAGGACACAAAATTGTCTGCTACAACGTCCTGTCAATGACTACTTCAGCTTCAACCACAATAACACACACAGCAAACTCAAAGTAAAACCGCTCCAAACTCGATTGCAGAAAACACGACTTCGGCAACAGAGTGGCCAATGCCTGGAACTCACTACCTGACTCACTACCTCACAACACTACCTGTTGTTGTATCTTCAAACCCCCAAAACTTTCACCTTAAAGTACTGTAGACCTCACTCCGTTCCTAAGAGGTCTGTAAGGGGGCATGTATAAGCACATCAGTGTGCCTACCGTCCCTGTCCTATCGTTCCCATTTATCCATACTCATTTATTACATATATACTTATACCTGTTTATACTTATATGTTTATATGTTATGTTCATACTTCTACTTGTTTTCTCATACATGCTTGACAAACTAAACTAAATAAATACTTTACCGACAGCCCTTTGGAAGAACAGGTGGCACAGCAAAGCACAAAAAGACAGCCAAATAAATAGTTATGGTTGACATGAAGAGTTTAGCTGAAAAAGCGGGGGAAATCCAAGGTAGCCACTAATAAAGGAGATATTTGTAACTCAGAGTTGAAATCCGGGGTCCTTGATAACTCTTGAGCTTGGTGGTTTCCTTGCAAAGTTTCCTGATCCAACTAGGGAACATCATCACTGCTAGCACTGATGATGTTGCCTAGTTTGGGTAAACACTGGATTCATTCACACACACATCAAGCCCTGGGATTGGTTTGGGTTTAGCTGTGCACTGTGTGGTTCCAGTTCATACACTCTATACCCTAAATATATATGGCTCCTGTAACCCAGGGAAATGAAGCTTATTCAGTAAACCAGGGGTAAGCCAAGAATAGAATGGAATGGAATAGAATAGAACAGAATAGAATTCTTTTATTGGCCAAGTGTGATTGGACACACAAGGAATTTGTCTCGGTGTAAATACTCTCAGTATACATAAAAGAAAAGATACATTCGTTAAGAATCAATTCTATCAATTCTAGGCTGCTTCGCTCCTTGATTAGTAGTTTCCATCCATTGCTTCCTGTCCTGCCTTTGGTGCTTTGAATAGGTTGGCCTCCTTCTTCTTTGTGGCAGCCCCTCAAATATTGGAACACTGCTATCACGTCCTTCCTTTCATCAAACTAGACATACCCAATTCCAGCAACCGTTCTTTATATTATGTTTTATAAATGGCTTGGTGTGTGGTACAAAGTAACCCACAGAGGAGATTCCTTTTGCAGCTTTAACTGCGGGTTTAATGTTAGTTGAAAACGGTCTTGCATAGTAAGTGTCTCTGACCACATACACAAATATTTACTGTATTTACTGTATCTGTTAGCACTGATTTTAGCCACAGCCTGTTTGTCTTTTTGCAATAATCAAAATTAAAATGTGGTTCCCCCCCCCACCCCTCTAATTCTACGAGGTCTCTTATCGAAATTGTTGACTTGACTTTGGTAGGCTAGATTCCGACAACTGGCTTGGCCCCGGTTTGTTCAATCACGACTGAATCAATCAAGTCAACATCTGATTGATTTCCAACCACAGACTAAGCCAAACATAAACCAGCGACCTTCTGGTTTGTTCTGTGCATGTGGAGAGATGCAAACCCTGGCCAGCTTGGCCTCCACTCGGATGAAATCTGCACAGAAAAAAGCCCCAAGGTTGCAAAGCCACCGAGGCTTCCTCTTTTCGAGAATTTCGCTCCAAAGAAGTGATGACCTGTTTGGTTTTTTTCCCCTTCCAAAGAAAAATATCTACCAAAAAAAAAAAAAAGAGGACAGGGGTCGGAAACCACTCTTCTGCTTTTTTGCTTCTCTGACCGGTTCCTCCTCTGGTCCTTTGAGTGATTTGAACCTCAATCCCTGACGGCGCTTTCAAGAAACGCCGAAAAAAAGGGAATTATTATGATGATAATGACAGTATTTGCTCTTGTACACCATCACTTCCTGCCTTTTTCCGGCAGGGGGCAGCCGCATTCTCCTTATTTCTTCCGAACTCTGTGCGTTGGATACGGCGCTCTATCCTCCAAACTTCCTTCCTTCGTTCTCCCCCCCGCCGCTCTACGGTCTTTACTTCCGCTTCCGGCGAGAGGCTCTTTCTCTGGGCGCCGCTAACGTCGGCAAGATGGTGAGTTAACCGAATCCGGTTCCATCCGCCGCCGGGCCGGAGGGTTGGGGCCCCGGAGTGGGGGCTGGGGTGGCGGCCGAGACCGAATAACGTGGCCGTGGGGCTCTCGTGGGACGCGGGGAAAAAGGAACGTGAATTTTATATTCGGTAAAGCCGGAGCGAAATATGAAAGGAATAAAAGACATGGTTCCCTTCACTACCTTCGTTTAAGCCTAGTTCCCAGTGCGGCGGCCAATCAGATCGCTCGAAAAGACCCCGTGATACCTTAAAAAAGAGCCGATCCTAGAATTTCAGTTTTCCTTCTCCCTCCCGTCCCTTTTTTCTCTATTGGGCATCTTAGATGGTTAAATCTTAGCTTGTTGATTCCCCAAGCCTGATTATGCATAATGGATGATAACCATCCCATTAGGTGGGTTTTTGAATGTTTCTCATGGACCAACCTTTCTTTATGAGTTAGGGAATCGAAAGATCCTCGCGGATTTCTGAAAGGATCCGTGAATCTGCCCATCCAGATCCAATCCAGAAATGAAGTCTGGACTGTGGATCATTTTTGCAGTGCAGTGCAAGGGTTAAAAATGGAGCTTTGGACAAAAGACATGTATGTATTTTATCTTATGTCCACTGAGAACATTTGCACCAAAGACAAATTCCTTGTGTGGCCAGTCACACTTGGCCAATCAAGAATTCTGTTCCTATTCTATTTGCTATTCTATCTGTTCCAGTAAACTGAGATGTTCCTCTTTCTGGAGGAGAAAGTCTGAAATAATTCACTTGGATGTGCTTAGTTGAATAGCTCCTTAAGTAGAAGCCAACAAACTGGATCAAAAGTAGCTTTCTCCCTTCTGTGGTGAACATCAGACACTTACTGTCATTGTCAGGAACTGTTATTGTCAGGAAGGGTACAACCCAGAAACATTAGTCTGGGCCCAGAATGTTTAATGGCTGATGTTATTCTTACAAGGTGCTGAGATGATTGGCCTTGTTTCTAAAATGCAAAATGTGTGCCTGGTTCTTTTGAACTGGTAAAATAATGGTGCAGTAATGGAAGCTAATCCAGATTATCTTTGGAAACTAATCAAGATTGACAGTTGCAAATTAACAACATAGCTAATCATACAACTGGTACAGACGGGTGGGATGCTACTGGTTCTGTCTGGCTCTATAGAACCGGTAGCTCTGAAGAGCAGCAGACACCAAACCGGTTCTGTGTTTGCTGCTTTTGGGCCCATCTGGGCTCTTACCTGTCCTTTATTTCCTGCTTTTTCAACCTCAGCTGCTTTGCGCAGCACAGCTGAGGTTGAAAAAGCAGGGGAAAAAAGTGGCTTTTCAAATGCTGCGCACCAGTGCTCAGCCAGCCCAACTTAAGTTTTTTTATACATGCATGCAAAACGTCATCAAACCGGTAGTAACACCAGTTGAATCCCACCCCTGGGTACAGAGGTAAGAGTTTACACAACATGCTAGGGTAAAATGGAGATTGGTAATTTGTGATTCTGCTTGCTGCAGGAAAGACTCTTAGTAAGTTGGTGAGCCCTTTGCGCCCTTGAGTTATTTATCAATTAATACAGGTGGAATAAATTTTTTTAATAAAATAAACCCTGTTTTCTGATGAGCCAAAAGCTTTTCCTTGCTTGGGTGCTTTCCAAGTTTAGGGACTTCAAAATTCCAAGCAGCGGCTGTATTAGCAGGCCGTAGTTCTGGAGTTGAAGTTCCTATTTGTCTGAAGTGGTGTAGGGTTTTCTGCCTAAGCAGAGGGTTGGACTAGAAGACCTCCAAGGTCCCTTCCAACTCCGTTATTCTATTTTTATTTCAGTGTTGGGAAAGAGAGCAGAGTTGGAGAATTCTCCCTGGAATATTTGCGTGTTTGTCTTTTTTCCCTACCTGGAGAACGTAGAGTTCTATTAATTGGTGTAAAACTGATTTTTTTGGACAGGTGAATGTCCCGAAAACCCGCAGGACTTATTGCAAGAAATGTGGCAAGCATCAGCCCCACAAAGTCACCCAATACAAGAAGGGCAAAGAGTCTTTGTATGCTCAAGGTGAGTTGTGGTGCTTGGCGCATTCTTGTCTCAAATTAGCCCTCCATGCATTACAGCGCTGCTTTCTCACTTCCTGATTTCTTTCAAGGATGAAAGATTATTTCCTTTCCACTCTTTCAGTTTATTCTTAGGTACAATTGCCGTTTGTATCGGTTTCTAAATATATACGCAATATATATCTAAATATATATATGCTTTGTTTTTTTAAAAAAGGTCCTTTGTCTCTTCTTTATAAGAAGAGGGGGAAAGGACTCCCCCCTCAATTCATTTCCATCCGAACCAGAGATACAGAGGTCACCGTTTTCACATTGCACTGTATTTTTCTTTGTAAAGAAAAATCTTC